GTCTTCCCTATTTTTCTTTTTTGCCTATTTTGGGAAGCTGGCAAAATTTCAGGGGCAGGAAGTGTGTGCAGGGGGGAGGGGGGGTAAAAGGAGGGTAGTTGGAAGGATTAAGGCTGGGGATTGGGTCCGACTGCTAACAGACTGAAGTGTCACTACAGATCGGACCGATCGATATGCAGCTCGGGTGAGGAGAAAGGAAGCAGGCGGGTAAATTAGATGGGCAGCAAGAGAAGGATTGGAGAGAGATTGGGAGGGGAAAGGGAAAGGGAAAGGAAGGATGGCGATCAGAGCAGGTGGGGACGCAAAAGGGCAGCTGTGAGGGATTGCTGCGATATCACAAAAAGCAAAAGAGAAGAAGCGTACCAGCGCTGGGGAGTGTTGGGAGGGAGATGCAATAACAGCGGAGATTTCAGCAGTAGAGGAGGAGTAAGAAACACCCGAGGCGGTAGTTGCCGGTGATTCGAATCAACACAACGAGGGAAGAGGTGGGGGGGCAAAAGAAGAAAGTGAGTGAGAGAGAATGAGAATTGAGGATCAGAATGAAGCAAGTGAATGAATTGAGGCAGCACCCTCACTTGCGATAAGCCAACAATCGGTGTGGATAATCAGTGGATGGTGGCCATGTGCATTCACCGCAAGAGTCGCCCGTGCATTAATTGGGTTGGACGGGTGGGAGGTATGATTGCGAGTTGGTCGGGGCTGGGCTGGGTAATAGATGATTCGGATGCAGGGAAAATGCCCAAGATTAAAGAACAAGAGAAAATTCTAATCGATGGGCAGTAGTAGCAGCAGCAGCAGCAGGGAAGAGGGGGAAATGCCCAAGTGGATGATTGGTGATTGATTGATTGATTGATTGATGGGTGGGAACGGTGAGGGAGAGGGGAAAAAATAGAGAAGGCTGGTAAGGTCACTAAAGAACTAGTCAAAGGAGTATAAGGATGGATGGATGCTGGAGTTGGCGGTTTAGTGTCCAAGTCAAGTAACTAAACTCAGTGGCCGGCACTGATTAAGAAAAGTCACTGAAACTTAAGTAAGGTACGGCCTGGATGAGTTGGCCACGACCCAAGAAAGATGAGCTTCTTGTCCCTGCCAGCCTCGCGATTATCGCGTTTCCTGGGCTCTTATACTGCTGATGGCCTTCTTTCTGAAGCGGGATTTCCACTTCACTTTGGGTGTCATTATCGGTTGGGTTCGATAGAAGTGGACTGCTTGCTTCCTACGTGTGTGTATCCCCCGGGATCCATCCTCACTCCTCCTCCACCAGATGAGATCCACGCATGGTGACCGAGTAGAGCTGCGCTTCCCACGCGCTCTCACTCTTCCATCACAGCCTCGAGAATATAAATTACTATTGAGCAGTCGGCTTTGCCGTTTTCCTCACTGTCGCCTAAAGTGATCTTCCTCGATTCTCGATGATGCTTCCTCGAGCTTAAGGCTGAATCCCATTCTCATCCACTAGCGTCTTCTTTCCAGACACACCAAGGATGTAAGGAGCGTGAGGCTTGGAGAAATATGATTTTTCTTGTTTCCTAAATCCATACAAGTTCATGCGCGCACCTCCACTGGATGAGAGCGGGTTATTGCCTTCGTAGTGCGACCCGAGATGTGATCTGTTTCCTGTCTGTCTGCCACTCCCGATCTTGGGTGGCCCTATTACCGTTGTACAGGTGTGTGTGAGAGCAGCGTCTTTTGCCTCCCGAGACTCAGGGTGGTGAAACCTGGAGCGTGATGCTCAGGAATTGGCTGCCATATATACAGCATGAAACACGAGCCCTGCCAGCACCCAATGTCCAGAGGGTCTTCTGGTTCCGGAATGACTCGTCACATTAGAAGCCACGATCTCCTGTCTTCCGAACTCCGTACCTGGCTGGAATCGGATAATTCTAAAGACCACTGGCGGAGGAGGCTACCGGAACAGCATCAGCATCCGAACGAGCATGACTAGTGTAGGTACGGTCGTGTGGTTACTGGGATAAGGAAAGTCCGAAATCGAAAAATAAGAAGATGAATAGTGAGTGAGTGGGTGGATCCCACTCACCCCTCCTCTCTCTCTTCCTGTGCCTTTTTTCCCCCGACCCGCACACGGAACCAGCAAGAGACTCTCATCTCTCACCTTGACTGGCTCATGGCGCAAAGCAAGAAAAGGAAAAGAGTCAGTCAAGGACCAGGACCAGGCGGTCTCCAGGACGACCAACTCCCAGCAATCATTGGCGGTTAAGGCTGCCAGCTCATCAATCACTCCGTTCCCCTCCGTTGACTCTGACTACACCTCCACGGCTGATTGGTAGCCTTTTATTCGCTTTTTCTCATTGCAACGATCATCCTGCTGGAGTAGCACAGGTGACTGTCAGGACCAGGTGTTGCTTACGGCCACTTGCAACGTTGGATGTGCTCCGTACTTTTTTTCGGTAGTGCATGATGGATGGGAGGGGGAAAGTTGGGTTCGACGGCGGATCCCGTCCCGTCCCTTTCCTTTCTTCCCTTTTTTGTCTTTCCCAGCCACCTTTTTTGACCAGCCACCCTCGGGTTTAAGTTGTTTAGGTTTGATGAGTTTGCTGGGATAGTCCATGCTTCCCCGGTCAGCGTGGTCTCATTTGCCCTTTCGAGTGTGTGTTTGCCAGGATATGGAAATGAAACCTCAATCCTGATGATAGGATTCGTCGGATCGAAATACTCTATTGGTCTTAATGTCCAATGCATGGGGTGTGGCGGGGCTGGGATCATAATATTAGATTAATACTGAAGTTCGTTCAACAGGCAGCCATCACCCAGAGCCATAACAACTAAATTTCATAGAAAATAAATACTCCATGCGGGCCTATGAGGATTCCCATTATTTCTCGTGGTGGGATTGCCTTTCCTTTTGTCGAAGTCACTTGCCAATGTTTATTTTTTATTTTATTTTATTTTATTTTTTCTCTGGAGCCGATATGCCAGATATAGAACAGCCCACTACTGAGATGATGTAGAAGATGCGTACAGTTTCCACAGTTGCAGCAACAACAGTAGATAAGATTCACCGATCATCAACCTAATCCGCGCTATGTATCTATTCATAGCTCAGCCTACCCGATACTTTGTTCCATTCTGTACCAGGCCTATACATGAATGACATGCATTGCAGCCCATCGATAGGCCGTGAGACACTCCTAGCTGCCAAGTACATCGGCTATCCAGTCGAGAGAACTACAATGACCAGTCTTTGACCACAATCTTGGTTTCACAGAAGGAGACTCAGCACGCCTCTCCAGTCACCTGTCTCAGTCTGTGCTTCTGGGTTCATTCTAGGGAGTAATCTCCGATCGGAGAAAAAGAGTGTACCGAACAGGAATACAGTTGCTAAGATGGTTGAATGCTTCTGAATGATAGAATCTATTCAAGAGAACGATTGAAATAATAATATAGACAAGTCCAGATATCCACAGGGTAAACTCCGAAACTAAAATGCCAGGTCTTAAGAAATCACACAAACCACTTGCTTTTCTCTTGCTTATTAGTCAGTCAGTTCAGTCATCCTCGTGCTTGCGCTTAAACTTCAGCCCCTTCGGTTGGCTGCCGTAGTTTCGGCGTCCTTGCTGCTGCTGCTTCTTATCCCGACTCAGGCTGGAGCCCAGCTGGATGTCGATGCGCGGCGGCGTCGAGAATCCGAATCCCTTGGCAATCTTGACCAGGTCAAGCTTGTGCACGTCGAAGACGGACCGGAGCGAGTGCGAGGCATATGCCTGGAGATAGGCTCTGTAACCTTCCTTGGCGGACTAGGTGGGTTGAGTCAGTATTGCATCGATATCGTACATAGGAGTCAAATGTAGCCTGTAAACTTACCTTGTTCAGATAGTAGTTCTGACCAATCAACTTCTCAAGTTGAGATTGAACGTTGACGATCTTGTTGGCCGGGAAGTCGAATTCCACCACGGGAACACGAGCCTCCTTGAGGTGCTTCAAGAAACCAACCTCGGAAGGCTGCAAGAACATCAAACTGCGTCCCTTTCCGTTCACACCACGAGCCGTACGACCGACACGGTGAACGTAATCCCTGGTGTCATCCGGAGGGTCGAACTGGATAATCCAGTCCACAGCCGGAATCTATACTAGTTAGTTTATGCTCTGGGTGATCTGTTCATGGGCAGGTAGAAACTCACATCCAAACCTCTGGCAGCAACGTCAGTGCAAATCAGGGTTCCCTGCTTGGCATTGCAGAACTCGAAGAATGTGTTGGTCCGCTTCTGCTGCTTCTGCTTGCCGTGGAGTTCAAGCACCGGCAGGTCGATGTAGTTGAGCAGCTCCGCGTGGTACTTCACACAGTTACAGCTGGAGAAGAAGACAATGATCTTCTTCTTGAGGTTGCGCTTAAGGAAGGAGAAAAGAAGCAGGAAGCGCTTGTCAGCCTCACAGATGACATAACCCTGTTCCAAACCCTCAACTGTGCTGTGCTCCTTGCGGTGGTCAACGTTGATGTACAAGGGGCCAGGCCGCAGCGATATACGCGCCAAATCCTCGACTTTCGTGGTCTGGGTGGCAGAGAACAGCATGGTCTGTCTCTCCTCGGAGGGCAGGATCTTGACAATCTGACGCATTTCGTCCTCGAAACCGACTTCCAGGATACGGTCCGCCTCATCTGCACAGACGTTAGAGTCGTTTTCCTATTGTGTTCGTAATCACGTCACGCTTACCAATAACAAGTGTCTTCAGGTTCTTGAACACAAAGCCAGGGGTGTTCTGCAGATGATCGAGCAAACGTCCAGGGGTGGCAATAAGCAGGTTGACACCCTTGGTGAGCTTCTCTGCCTCAGCTCGGCGGTTGGCACCTCCGATAACGATACCATATGTTTGCGAGTGGTGCGCCATCAACTCTCTGGCCACACCGAATATTTGCAGCGCCAACTCTCTGGTGGGGGAAA